GATAACATCTGTCCACACCAATGCGTCACGTCTAACGTGCGCGTTGAAATCACTCCACAGAAATATTCGGTCGCTCACAGGTACCAACGGTATCACAGAGGATAACTGAGTGCAGCATTGATCACACGTGTCATCCGGATGACACATGGTCTTACAGTACGCGCTTATAAAAGTGGCAAACTTACCTCTTCCGAGTCGTAGTCTTACAGTCATCAGTCGCGCGCTGATGCCTGTTGGTTCACCCACGAGCTGACCATGGAGACGATCGGATATTGCAAATCCGACCCATGTTTACGTGGTGCTTAGGCGGCGTTGCCTACGAAGTAGAATGTGTAGCCAGCACCTGCTTCATGCAACTTACCTTTCTCAGCGAGCCGAGTTTCACTGAGCGTCACAATATGGAGGCGGTAACGCGCCAGTTCCATCGCGACGAGTGCAGTGCGTCGCTCGGGGCGCTCACTTGAGTTCCGGTCCAGTAGTGTGCGCCTGTTCCAGCACCCGATGCTGAGTGCTTTGCGCGCAGGCATTCGATTGCTTTGGTGGGCAATCGCATGCATAGTAGTCGTTGTGCTTCGGAGGTTTGCTTGAGGGACTCCGTCCGGAGCCTTTGGCTCAATAGCCTGACCCACAAGGCGGCGTGGAGCAAATGCCGCTGGGGAATGTAATTGCAGAGGCAAAGTAGGAGCTGATTGAGATCGGTCACATGCAGAATTTGAAGTATTGGAACGATGCGTATATGTTTTGCGACCGAAGTAGGATACGCACCTGCAAGCACGGCCAGATGCCGGTGGGTTTTGGCTGGTTCGCACCAACTGGACCAAGGGCTGCCTGGCTTGAGGCGGGCAGTAGCAAACCACTGAACACCCGGAGGTGCCCTCCCACTGTCAGGGACAATGCGTGGCGCCCGAGCTCTACACCAATGGAGCTGTGAAGTTATAATCCGTAGACCTGTTGTCTCTCATGGTTAGGTTTTACGGGAAGAGGGCCATCGACCACTTCCTAACCATCGAAATGGATGGACTAGAATACTGGCAGGGCACCCACATCTGACAGAAGAACGACTGGAGTCCATAGCCAATACCTTCGATTAAATGTACACCCGAAAGGCAGCGGGTCTAGCAAATGGTCAATTCACTGACTCATGCGGAGTAATGTCCCGGATCTTAGCAAGGAGAAGTGCGTGACCCAACTCCCACCCAGCGGTCGTCTTGAGGAGACGTTCAAGACATGAGCCAATGGCGCAACAGTAGCAGCATTGGGTAGATCATCTGTCAGGATGTAGCCAACATCAGCCTGAGCGCACCATAGGCTCTTCCGCCGAGTAGACGTGGATTACAGCTTCAATAAGACATATGCGACACGAAAGGTAATACTGAATTAATTTGATGGTGGGACAACATAAAAAGGCTATTATTCGAGTTCGTTAATCTCTGAAACCTATCGGAGTAATGAAGCGCCAAAACATTGTCCTCTACCTTTGTTTGTACCGTGCGACTTTCAGTTTTAACGAGTGATGGGATTCTTTGCTGTCCCTAACGAAGTCATTCAATTACCTGTATAAGTTCTTTCCTTCGTACAGCACCAAATGTTTACTTCCTGTTGATGAGTCTTTTTATTCTTGCGGCGCAATTTTACACACAATTTTCGCAGTGCCACGGAAGCAACCTGGGCTAGGACATTAAGAGTGTCCTTTTAAACTCGCCATGCCTAATCACGGAAGGACAAACATTTAGTGCTCCGCTTTTCGAAATGTTTTGATTTTGCTTTGACGGTAGAAGGACTTTAACCGTCATGCGTGTGCTGCCCGTGTGTTAAACGATTTTGTAACAAATTTAATTAAGTAGGTCTAATCCCGCTACATACAAGTGGGAAATTCTCATCTAATTAAGTAGCAGTATGCACTTTAGCATATTTTTTGTTGTGAATCTTCCGCATTACATACATGTTCAAATAGTATGGTCGCATAGTTACTAATATCCAAAGTATAGCTTGTAGCTATCCTGTCGACCATGAGATCTTCGTTGGTGGGACCCAGACAAAGTATCAACGACCTGTTATCAGCTCAAAGTAGCTGGAAATTATCACTTTCATATAGGTTCTAAAATATGCGCCATCGGGTTCTGATACTTCCAGGTCATGCACATTAAATCCTCCAGCGATAAGAATATAGTCGTAAGGCTGTTTTCGTTTAACCTATAAAACAGTTTAGTTTGTTGTACATTTCCCACGTAAGGTTTGGTGGACGATATTTTACAGCCACTAAACATGTATCTTTGTTTCGTAGACACAGCCAGAATCTTAGCAGACAGAGAGCGTGGAATTCTGAGCGAGTTCACATTAAAAGCTAATCTTTGCTAAACGGTACTACACCTTCTTTCCCAACGCTTTCGTTCCGACCCAGCGACGTACTGAGTATATTATTCACATCAATTAATTCATGACTTATTTAAGCCATCGTAATTATGCTGAGATTTCAATGTTGTAAGGCTTGACGCTCGCCAGGTTAAGCCAAATTACTAAGAATGGCTCTGGTTGTAGTGCACAGGCTAGATAGCGTTTTGAAGGTTAAAATGCTTTGGTGGATGTATACTTCAGATTAGGTTAAGAGCCGACCGTTTGACTGTCGTAGGCTAATTGTTTTTAAGAGATAGCTGGTTTATGAACTTCTGTCAAGATGCATGGTCGCGAAGAACGCACCAAATGTTGATGCTTGTCCGTACCTCACGATGTATTGCCGAATGCCGTAAGTGCTATATCTTCGGTCGCTTAGCAGAATTGCGCAAACAAGGGCTATCCCAATGTTGAAGGTTTTAACGGAATATTAGTCCCTCGCCAACACGGACTAGTGCCGTCTACCGAAATGCGGTTGGTAGCCTAGTGCGCAAATTCTACACAATAACTTATTCTATCCACTATTTCATAAGAATGTGTAGCGCCCTCTGAATACTCTCGTATCGCAGACCATGTAGTTAGGCGATGAATTAATTCTAGTCAATGAATTAACCACGTCTAGAATGGGGGCTTCGTGGAACAATGAACAAGGAACAATGAGTTATGCCGGGTAAAAAAGCAGTTCCTTGACAAGTCCCGCAGGATGGTGAGGATAAAACTACAATTATCAGAAGCTAGGTGACTTGTCTATTTGTGCGTTTATCTAGCAGATACCCTGCTGAATAATAGCCGTCTAAGCGTGCATGTGAACGATGAGGCAACATGGGGACAGTTATGGTTGAGGTATTTCGTGAGAAAAGTAAAAAGGAGAATACTCCATTCTATACCGCATCCTCAGGTTGATATAACAGGTTAATCCGATTTACACGCATAATTAATATATTCCAAAGTAGCACAGTTTAGGCCAAGAAGTGATGAGGCCAAGGGCAACATCCAATCGTTTTTTGAAAATATCCAAGGTGGGGGAGGAAACAACGAAGTTTGGGAGAGAGTTCCAGGGTTGGCAAACCTGAAGAGAAAAATAATTCCGTCGACATTCCAGGCGCCTATACTGCGCACACAATTTCAGAGGGTTACCTCTGGGGTTGCTATTATGGCTGAGTTTCATCAAGTGATGGCATTCGTGATTAGGGTCACACAATATTTGGTAGACTTATATGAGATCACCGTGCAGCCTTCGGCAGCGGCCACTGAAAACTCCCAGTGAATTCAGAATTTGATGGTAGGACAGATTTCATAGGCCCTTGACGTTCTTTGTGGCCTGCGTTGTGGTTTCTCTAGCATTTCTAAGTCGCGCTTCAAGCAAGCTTGCCAAGCTTGGATGGTGTAAGGGCGCAAGTAAGAAGTGTGCATCATGGAGAAGATGGATGGCTCGAATCTTCCGAATGCTCTCCGCAACAAGCCGACGTGTTGGTTGGCTGTTATAACGCTGAACCCGCAATCGACCAGTTGATTCACGCCTGCTGGGAAATCTGCGCCCTTACGACTGCTCTGTTTGACGCATTGACAAACCCGACAGGAAGGAAGACAGAGAGACTCAGCAGACCAGAGTTGAATTAAGACAGAGAACGCTCGTATTTATATGTCGGTTTCACCAACCCTCCAAACATCACCAGGCGGATTTGGTTGTAAACCCACGCTCCACACATGCTTGTTCGCTCCGTCTGTCCAGTTCACCGTCTTGCTCGGGCACTCCAGTCTTCGTCCGCCTACCCGGCGCATGGCAACGCACGTGATGTCTCACGCGCAACTTCATCAGCTTTTGGATTGGACCTGGCAACACGCTCGCAGGATCTTTCCCAAGCATGATTTGGGGCAAACAATCGACTGTTGGCAATCAGCTTTCTCGCCCAGCTGTCATTGGTTCTCTTCGCAGCTGCCTCTGAATGTTTTAGACCGTTAAGGTCACTTTGAACGAGCGCGCCAACATGGCGTTCCTGGGAATTTTGCATTGCATGTGACCCAAGCCTATACACGTAGTCGTGCTTATGGCGCAATTGAACAGCGTTATATTTTTCCACATTGTACGGTAGGGTATTCAGAAAGGACCATTTTGAAATCGTGTTGTGGTCACGCTGGAGCTTTTCGTGGTAGTTCCGTTCTTTGATCGCTCACCATAACTTGATATCATCCGCAAAGAAAAGGAAATCAGAAGTAATTTCCCTCGCCAGAACGTTTAAGAAAATCAAGCGTAGACGGGGCCAGAACACCGCGCCTTGTAGTACGCCGCACTCCACCTCAATTGCATCTGACAGGGATTCTCGTACTTGCACTTCCAACCGACGTTCGTGCAAGAAATGGCCTATCCAACGCAGCAGTGGGTCACCAATGCCAGAAACCTGAAGTTTATGGAGGAGAACTCGGGGGTCTAAGCGAGCAAAAGCTTTTGACAAGTCCAAATAAATAACAACAACCCCTGCTCCACCATCAACCGTTTCAGTCCAGCTATAGCCTGTATTTAGCAAGTTCGTAGTGCATGCTTGCTTTTGTCGGAAGCCATGTTGCTATGGTTCTTTCATCTTGTGATTTGCCAGATACTGCATGAGTGCTTATGGGGTTTGTGAGTCGCTATTAACGGGGGATATATGCAAAGTGTTGAGTGGGCCTGGGGGGGCACCAGGGATTAGTCCGCCAAGTTGCTCTGCTGGGTTGATGTGCGTGATGATTAGTGATCCCCCCCCCCCCCCCCCCCCCCCCCCCCCCCCCCCCCCCCCCCCCCCCCCCCCCCCCCCCGCCCCCCCCCACACACACCCCAAACATCCCCCCCCCCCCCCCCATTGCGACATGTGTCTCGCATCTTGTGTGTCTGGATGGTGCGGTGTCCCAGGTGTTTCATGGTGTTTGGGTGGGGCTGGTTGTCTCGGTGGTTGTTTAGTGGTGTGTGTGGTGGGTGTGGGGTATCGGTGTAGCGTGTCAGTGTGCTCTAGCATGTTCCCGTTGCGAGTTGTGGGTTGGGACGGTGGTCGCTGTCGCGTAGGTTCGTCGGCGTGGTTGTTGGTATGCTGGTGAAGGTGTGTTGGGATGTTGTCACTTTCGGGTTTGGTTTGGGTTTGGTGCTATGGTGGTTTTCCGAGGATGTCCGTGTAGTGGTTTCTTGGTGGGGTGTGGCTAGTTCTTGCCTGTTGTAGGTGTTGTTAGGTGTGTTGATCTATATAGATCGCCGGGGGCCCGGAGAACAAGGTGGGTAGAGTGCTTGGGGTCAGGGGATCGTCTACCTGGTCGGGGTCTTGGGGTATTATGGTGTTGTGGGAGTCGTTCGTAGATTTGTACTACACTCTTGGACTGGGGATCTGATGTCAGGGCAACGATCTCAGGATGGGGTAGTGTCAGTAGGGGTGGCCTTTTGTGTTGGGTGTGTTGATGTTTGGGTGTTGGTGGCGCTGTTGGGTTTCTACATCTTTGTGGTTGTTTCGGTGTTGGTGTGGGGTTTTTGTTGGGGGTTTGGCAGGTGTACAGGTGTAAGTCGTGTTGGGTGTGGGGATGCGGTTGAGATTGTTTGTGGGGTTTGGGTTTTAGCGTTTTAGTGATAGGCGAAGGGTGTTGTGTTTTAGGTCTGGGTTTTGTTCTTGTTTGGATATATTGGGTGTGGTGAATTGTAAATGTACGATCATTTAGAGGGCGGTTGTTAACACGTTGGTTTCAGGATTTGTTTTATCTTGTGGAGTATGTGTTCGTGATGTTTTACGTAGATTGGGCAGTTGTTGGGTGTTTGCGAGTTTCTACGGAGCTGTTTTCTGCGTTAAGTTCTCTCTAGCTTTCCGTTAGAGTACTCAATGGCTCATAACCTGGTTATGTGTCTTAATGGCTTCATTATTGTATTTTCGTTGGTTTATGAGTGGTCAAACGGTACTTGTTGTATCAGTATAACGACTGCGTGCTCGTGATCTTACTTTCGTACTCACCAGTGTGGCGACTATCATAGTTGCTAACTATTTTATTGAGGTGGGTCCGTACTCTTGTATCTGGCTTTCTTCTTGCGTCTATTGTTACTGTACTCTTTAATTATGGTGCCTTATCTAGTACGCATGATATCGTAACAAGTTATGTGTTGTATTGTAATTTTGAATCAGACCTGTGGGTGTATCGTGGTTTGGTTAGTAGAGTACTAGTAAGTTCTTAATTTAGCCATGGTATCAGTTCAACCATCTTATATTTTTTTATAATTATTAGTTAAGATTTATACATATTTATTGTTTTATTTACCTAATTTCTAGGTTGTTGTAGGGGTGCCCCCCCCCCCCCTCCCCCCAGGTATAGGTGTTGTTATTGTTGTTTGATACGGAGGTTAGGTTGATCTAGGCCTTGGACCCTGAGATAGGGTTGGTGGTGCGAATTTTCGCAAAGTTTAGAGATGAGGTGGATGTAGTATATGTGTTTAGTTGTAAGAGAGAGATTTATATGCCTTGTTTATTTAGGTGTCGCAGGCTTATTGAGTGATTGGATGATGTGATGTTTGTTGATTGTGTGTGACGGTAATGTGATGTTGAACGTTGGGTTGTTGTTTGATATGTTGGCATTGATTTGGTGAAGCGTGAAGAGGGGGGCTGGCTTGTGGATCAGATGGTGGTCTTGACGAGGGCGTATGTTGCGACGTTGGACCAGTTTGCTCCGGTTGGTCTGATCGTGTGGGTGGTGGTGGTGCGGGCGGTGATGCTCATGTTGATGGTGGTTCGGGGTGGTAGTTGTGGGTAGGGTTGGTGGGATAGTTGCAGGGGTGGTGACGGTTTTCTTGGGGTTGGCAGGGGAAGGTTGGGGGGTGGTCCGATGGTGGATGTGCCAGAGGTGGGGTGGTTAGGAGTGTGGTCTGGCGGTGGTGTACGGGTGGTGGGTTTGGGTGGTGGTATGGTGTGGCTGGTTTTCACGTGGAGGTAGTGTGGTACGGTGGTCCGGAAGGCTGAGGTGGGGAGTGTGGGGGGTCGGGTGGTGGCACGGTGCTTGGTGGTTTGATGAGTGGGTGTTGTGGGCGCGGTGTGGGTCGGTGGGGTGGAGGAAGTTTGGTGGGCGTTGGGAGTGGGGTGTGGATGGGGTGGGTGAGGTAGCGAGGGGTTACGGTAGGTCGTGCTAATGATTTAGGCGGTGTATTATGTGTGAGGAGGTGTGTCGGTGTACGGGGTTTGTATGATTAGGTGTGTGTGCTCCGTGTGGGGTGTCTGTTGTTGGCGGGTGTGGGTGTTTTAGCGGTGGTGAGTTTTGTGTAGATCCGGTTTGGCGACGGCTGTGGGTTGGTGAGGTTGGGGGTGGGTGGGGGAGTGAGGTGGGATCCGCTGTTGGGCGTTGTATGGGTGATTGTATTTGTTGGAATTTATAATAGTATTGCTTTAATTTTTAATTTAGGTTTTAGACGACGTATTTTGTGATTATGATATTTATATGTTTTATACTTCGGTTATTGTGGATTGTGAATGTGGGATGGAGTCTGTTCTATGTGGTATTATTAGGGGGATGCTGTACTTTCTATAGGTTTGAAGTGGGTGACATAGGGTCGGTACTAGATATGCGTAGATATCCGGATTGGGTTCAGGGGGCGCCTTCCATTGACGTCACAATAATAGCCTTATTGGCATTTCGTTTCCTATTTCCAAGAACAGGCGCTCCTTTAGGTCGTGAATCCGTGTTGCTGATACTAGATGGCAATAATTTCGTTGAGTAGATTGTAAACTAACGCTGTGGGGTACCTTGCGGTGCGCTTTGGCAACGTGGACTTGTGCCGTACACGCTCTGGTGGGTGGTTTATTGCGAATGTCCTGGCAAATTGTTGTGTGATCGGCTCCACCACTAAGTGCTGAGTCTTTGTTGTTTGGTTGGGTTACATCAGGCGGGATTGGCGTTCAACATCAGGATCCGGAGGAATCGTGAGCTGTTTCTATCGGAGCAGATGGTAGGAATGGTGGGTGTCATGGAGACGGTTGGTCGGGTGAAGTATCTTATGAATGGGTATCTTCGGTTCTACGGGAGTGTTCGTGGGGGCCGGGTGTGTCACCAGGTAAGAGTGTAGGGAATTCCATGATGGGAGCACGTCAGGGGATCTGCTTTTGATGGGTTGAAGCCCGGAGGGTAAGCGGGAAGGGGATTGTGAATGGGATTGGGGTTAGCTGGGCGGAGGAGTATTGGGTGGGGAGGATTGGCGCGAGGGATTTGAGTAGGGGAGTGTTTTGACTAGTTGGTGTGGGTGGGTTGGGGTGGGGGTCGGTGTGTCTGTTTGGGTTGGGGACTGACGGGTTTTTGGGTGTGGCGCGGTTGTCGTGTTGGGTTTGGGACTTGGGGTGTGTTGGGTATAGTTTATAGTTCTTTATAAATTTTATACGTGAGCCTTGCAAGGTGGGTGTGGGGGGTGTTGGGTGTGGGCTGTCTGTAGGTTGCGATGGGGTGGTTCTGGGTGGAGTTGATGGTTGGTTGATGGTGTTGTGTTGGTGGTGAGTTGTGAGTTTCGAGTATGTCAGCTGTCGTGAGTTGAGGGGGATAGGGTCTTGGGGTTGGTTGGTCAGGTAGGGTGTGTAGCGGGTGTGTGTGTTTGATGGCGGAGTTGTTGGCTGTTCCCCCGCCCCCGACCCCCCCTGTAGTGGGGTGTTTGGGGTGTCCGTTTGATAAGCGATACGGCGAGGGGTCAGTGTGCGGGGGGTGGGGGATTTGTGTGCTTGTAGTTGGGGGGGGTGGGGGAGGGGGTGGGGGGGGGGTGGGGTGTGGGGGGGGGGGGGGGGGGTGGGTTGGCGTTGATGTTATATCTAGAGATGAAGTGTGGGGTGGTGGGGGGAGGGGGAGTGGGAAGGGAAGGGGGGGGGGGGTGGTGGGGAGTTGGGTGGGGGTGGGGGGGGGGGTTGGGTGGGGGTCGGGTGGTGGGTCGTTTGACGTGTTGGGGGGGGGGGGAGTGTTTGAGTGTGGTTGGGGGTGGGATGGGGGGGGTGGGGGGGGTGGGTCGTTGGGGTGGAGTTGGGTGGGTGGTGGGTGGGGTGGGATGAGGTGAGGTTGGGGGGGGGGGCAGTTTTTTTGGTGGGTTGGTGGGGGTTTGTGGGTCGGGGTGGACGTGGGGGGGGGGGGGGTGTTGTACTATGGGGGGTGAAGGGGGGGGGGGCGGCGTGGGGGGGGATTTGTGGGGAGGGTGAGGGGGGTTAAGTGGTGGGGTGCGGTTGGGTTTTTGGGTGGTGGGTTAAGGGGGATAAAGGGTGGGGGGTGTGAGGTCAAGTGTGTGGAGTGGGGGGCAGGTTTGGCACAGAGGTAGAGGTGTTGGGGTGATGTCTGGTGAGTGTGGGGTTTGGGGGGGGTGGGTAGTGGAGGGGGGGGGTTGGGGTGTGAGATGGGTTGTGGGGATTGGTGGGGGAGTGGGGGTGGTGGTGGTGGTGTGAGTGGGGGGGTTGATGTGGGTTTGACACAAACGAGTGTGTGTTGGGTTGTGTCGTGTTGGGAGTGTGTTGGGGGGGGGTTGCCCCACAGCCCCCCCCCCCCCCCCACCCCCCCCCCCCCCCCCTCCGGGTCCTCCGCCCGGTGGGGAGGGTTGTGGATTGGTTTGGATGGGGGGTGTGGTGGGTGTGTTGGGTGGGGGGGGTGGGTGGTGTGTGGGGGTGGGGTTGGTGGTGTGGTGGTGGTGGGGGTGTTTTGGTTGTGTGGGGGTTTGGGGGGGTTGTCGGGGGGGTGGCGTTGAACGTGTTGGGGGTAGTGGTGGCTGTGTGGGGGGGGTGTGGGATGGTATTTATAGAGCATTAGCGCTTGGGTGGTCCTTATAGCATCACCCCCCTCTCCCCCCCCCCCCCCCCCCCTACCCCCCCACCCCTGGGCGCGGTGAGTGATTGGTATATGGTGTGGTTCGTGGTGATCGGGGCTGCTGTGTGGTTGGCTGCAGGTCAGGGTGATAGGGGCAGCCAGCGTGCGACGGTTTGGGGGGCGGTAGTTGACCGCGGTTGGTGTGGGGCTGGGGGCGATGTGCTGGGGTCTTGTGGGATGGGTGACGAGTGTACACGGGCGCGGTTTGGTGTGGTGGGTGCGGGGTTTGGGAGTTGGGGGGGGTTGTGGGGGGAAGAGATGGTGAGGGGTGTGGATGGGAATTGGGGTGGCTGGTTTGTGGGGGTGGGTTGGGGATGCTGGTGAGTGGGGGGCGAGGGCGGGTTTGTCGGTAGGGGGTGGGGTGAGAATAGGAGTTGGGGAGGGGTACGGCTTGTTTGTTCGAGGTCGGGTGGTCGCGCAAATATGGGTGGGTTCAGGTGTGGTTTGGGGGGGGTTGTCTGGTGGGGAAGTGTCGGTGGTGGTTGTGTGAAGTTAGGAGCGGTGGGGGTGTGGGGGGTTGTTTGCGGGGTGGTACTGTTAGGTTTGTTGCGGGTGAGCGAGAGGAAAGGGGTTGGGGGGGGTGTGTTGAGTGTTGCTGGGGGGTGTTGGAGTTGGCACGTGGGCCCCGTGAGCTGTCATTGTCGCGGATGTGGTGGGGTGTGGTGGAGCTGGGGGGTGGGGTGGCGGGCGTTTGAACGGGGGTGGTTGCGTTGTGTGGGGGGTGGGGTTGGGGTGTGTGGGTTTGTGGGTGGGGTGTGTTTGGGCGGTGCGGTGTGGGGGTATGGGTATGTTGGGGGGTGGTTGGTTGGGGTCGGATGGTGTGGGGGGGGGGGGGTGTGGGGTTGGGTGCCCCCCCCCCCCCCCCCCCCCCCCCCCCCCCCCCCCCCCCCCCCCACCCCCCCCCCCCCCCCCCCCCCCCCCCCCCCCCCCCCCCCCCCCCCCCCCCCCCCCCCCCCACCCCCCCCCCCCCCCCCCCCCCCCCCCCCCCCCCCCCCCCCCCCCCCCCCCCCCCCAACCCCCCCCCCCCCCCCCCCCCCCCCCCCCCCCCCCCCCCCCCCCCCCCCCCCCCCCCCCCCCCCCCCCCCCCCCCCCCCCCCCCCCCCCCCCCCCCCCCCCCCCCCCCCCCCCCCCCCCCCCCCCCCCCCCCCCCCCCCCCCCCCCCCCCCCCCCCCCCCCCCCGGTTGGTGGGATTGGGAAGGTGGGGGATGTGGGGTCGTGGGTGGTAGGGGGGACGGGAGGTGTGGAGGTGGGGGGGGGGGGGGGGGGGGGGGGGGGGGGGGGGGGGGGGGGGGGGGGGGGGGGGGGGGGGGGGGGGGGGGGGGGGGGGGGGGGGGGGGGGGGGGGGGGGGGGGGGGGGGGGGGGGGGGGGGGGGGGGGGGGGGGGGGGGGGGGGGGGGGGGGGGGGGGGGTGAGGGGGGGGGTGGGGGGGGGGGGGGGGGTGTGGGGGGGGGGGGGGGGGGGGTGGGGGGGGGGGGGGGGGGGGGGGGGGGGGGGGGGGGGGGGGGGGGGGGGGGGGGGGGGGGGGGGGGGGGGGGGGGGGGGGGGGGGGGGGGGGTGGGGGGGGGGGGGGGGGGGGGGGGGGGGGTGGGGGGGGGGGGGGGGGGGGGGGGGGGGGGGGGGGGGGGGGGGGGGGGGGGGGGGGGGGGGGGGGGGGGGGGGGGGGGGGGGGGGGGGGGGGGGGGGGGGGGGGGGGGGGGGGGGGGGGGGGGGGGGGGGGGGGGGTGGGGGGGGGGGGGGGGGGGGGGGGGGGGGGGGGGGGGGGGGGGGGTGGGGGGGGGGGGGGGTGTGTAGGGGGGGCCACGGCTGGGGCGGCAGTTGGCGCTGCACTGTTCGGGGTGTGTAGGTGGGTTGGGGGGGGGAGGGGTTGGCTGAGTCCGCGGAGTGGGGAAGTGGTGGAGTCTGTTGGTTGGGTAGTGTGTGGTGAGCGTTGCGTGGTCGCGCAGGTGTTAGTGGAGGGTGTGTGTGTCGATGGGAGTCGTTGGGGTGTGGGTGGGCGTTGTGGGTGGTGGTTGAGGGGGTGTGGTGGTGGGGCGTGTGGTGGTGGGGTTTGGGTGGGGTGTGGTGGTGTGTGGGGGGGGGGTTGGGTGTGGTGTGGTATGGGGGGTGTGGGGTGCGTGTTGGTGTTGTGGGTGTGTTGGGGGGGTGGGTTGGGGGTGTGTTGGGCGGGTGATTGTGGGTTTGGGTGTCGGAATGGTGGGGTGGTCCGGTTGGTTTGTTGGGTCATGACTCGTGTGTTTTGATGTTGTGGGGATATATATGATATAGATATAAACACCACAAACTACACAGCCACCACCCAACAACAAAACCAAAAAAACAACCCACCCCCCACCCCCCCCCCCCCCCCCCCCCCACCCACCCTCACCCTCAAACCACACAACAAACCCCACACAACAACACAACAACCACACATCAGCAAAACACACAACCCACCAACACACACAAACACCACACACCCTCAAAAACACACCCAGAAAAAACTCGTCCAACACCCCGCAACGATGGTTAGAGGAGTGGGGCGAGTGGGCTGTTGCGTAGTGGTGTCGGGTTGTGGGGGGGGAGGCGAGATAGGGGGTGGGTGGGGGGCATAGAAGGGGTTTGATACTTGTGCATGGGGAGCGTTTGGACTGGGACGTGTTTGAAGGTGTTGTTGGGCGTGGGTAGGTACCCCAAATGCCCTATGGGGGGGTGGGGTATGGGTGAGGGAGGTTTGTCGTGGTGTGAGTCGGGATGTTTGCGGTTTTGGGGGTAGGGGGGTGGGTTGTAGCTGCCGTGTGTGTGGGGTCAAGTTTGTCTGGGGCTCTGTGTGTGTTGGGTCACTATGGGCGCGGTGGTTTAGGGGTGTTGTGTGGGATGGTAGGGTGGTTTTGTTTGTGTGTGTGTTGTCGATATCCTTGTGTGTGTGTGTGTGTGGTATATATAGCTGGTGTTCTGCGTTCGTGTGTGGGTGGTCGGAGTTGGTGTATTATTTTTATACTCATT